GGGCGGCCTGGGGAAGCCCTAGGAAGTCCCCGGTGAGGTGGAGTCAGCCGAGCTGCCATCGCCGTCCCGGCCGTGGCTGCTGGCAGCTCGGTGGCAGAGCTGGGCTGGCCTCGGAGGAGCCCCGGGCGAAGGCTTCCCTGAGGAGCGGGTCGGGGCTGGCACGGGCTGGGCTTCACCAGCGCTCGCGTTGGCTTGGCCCCCGGGCGCCGCAAGTCAAGGGTCATCCACCGACCCTGAGAGTGAAAATGCCCTAAGTGCACAGTGCAGTGGGGCGTCCTAAGGACGTTGTATTGCCAAAACAACGGGTAAGGAGTGTGGATAACGGACAGCATGAAAGCAGATGCTGCCTTTCCCGTCTTTATGCTACAAAGAACAGGAGTCCGATGAAATTTAAGGACAAAAAAGTTCAAGTATACCAATTCACAAGAGCACAGTATAGTCATGATAAACTTCGTGGTACAGTTAATTTCTTAAATAGTGTACTGGGATGCTTGGTTTTTTAATTAATTAGAAATGTAATACACTAAGCTTGCTGGGACAGTGGGATTAATTAAGGAAGTACTGATGGGTGTACAGATTTTGGTTTTATAGCTTCTCACGGGGGCTTTGGTTCATCGATATTAAACAGTTCCTAATCACTTCTTTTCCATGGGATTCCATATAAAGATCTAAAATCACTTTGGAGACATTTTCAAATTATTTGTCCCAGTGCTTTTGTGCTATATATGCACCTCGTTCACCTGATTTCACAGATGGACAGACGGAGGCATCCAGATCTGCAGCAGGTTTGTGTAGGTCAAGAGGAAGGCGGTGGCGGGGCTGTAGGTGTGAGCCATTCATGGCGATTCCCCACTCCGAGTTTCAAGTACAAGAGCACCTTCGCCTTCAGGTTTGCCGTACTAACGTTATTCATAAGAAGCATCAAACGCTGCACTGCTGGTGCTGCTTTCTTCAGATCTTCGTTCCCTGAAGACGTCTCATCCAAATACAGTCCCAAGCCAAAACTACGGGACTCGGATCTTCACAAACGTGATTAACTTCACTAGTTCGAGTTGTCCCGTTGGGATTCTTTGCCATAGTACAGATAAATGAGTGTAATTGCAGAATCGAGGCCTTAGGCTGTGAGAAGCGAAGAAATCACAGCTTGAGGTGGTATATCTGTCGCTTCTTTGTGGGAGGTTTTGTATTAATAGTCAATTAATTCAATGTGTCAAACAAATAAAGCTTTAAATATTTAGAGATTAGGAGGTCCCTAATAAAAAATTTACAGGAAGAAAGGAAGATTCCCTGATCACTACAGTGGCATTTAAATACTGAAAGTAAAATAGGTAGGATAACACAGACAGATAGTAAAACACTTCTGTGTTTAGCATGCCGAGATTCCATGAGAATAGCTGTTGAGGTGTATCAAAATGCAGAGGAGAGGAAGAGCCTTATCGTCTGGCCAGACTTCCCTACCTAGTGTTTTTATTTGAGCATTTTACTGTTTGTGGAAGCTGTCCCAGGCAAATACTATGCCTTATTTGTTTAGAGTTGTTTTTTGGAAGAGGAAAGATGTAATCAACAGACAATGTGCTGTAATGTGTGAGTTGGCAAGGCCGTGTTCTCCACCTCTCCTTTTGATGGGGCTCCACAGTGCAGGAAAGAATGAGAGGCTGGTTGGACTGCAGGTGGGAAACGAGTGACCAGAGACTGCAGATGAGTGGGCAGGCATTTTATGAAAGGGAGGTCCTGCTTCACTGACCTGGTCTCCTTCTATGACAAGGTGACCTGCTTAGTGGATGAGGGGAAGGCTGTGGATGTTGTCTACTTGGACTTTAGTAAGGCCTTTGACACCGTCTCCCACAGCATTCTCCTGG